CACCTGACAATGCAGGAGACATAAGAGACGAGGGTTCGGTCCTTGGATCAGGAAGACTCACGGAGGAGGGCATGGCAGCTCACTCTAGTATTCTTGCATGGAGAATCCCGTGGACAGAGGAGCCTGGCAGGCTGCAGTTCACAGTGTCACAGAGTAAGACACAGCTGGAGTGACTGGACACACATGCATAGTGACATGTATTCACCATTACACTATCATAAAAATAGTTTTAGTGCCCTAAAAAGCCTTGTGCTTATCTAGTCATCCCTCTTCCCTAACCAGTCCAGGACAACCATAGATTTTATTCCCCCCGTCTCCATGTTTCATCTCTTCCAAAATACATTATAGTTGACAGCGTACAGTATATGTAGCCTTTTCAGATTGACATTTTTCATTTATTAATATGCATTTAAGTTTCTTCCATGGCTTTTCTGTCTTGATAACTCATTTATTTTTAACACCAAACAATATTCCATTGTTGGAATGTACCACGGTTTATTTACTCACTCACGTAATTTAAGACATCTTGGTTTCCTCTAAGTTTTAGCAATTATGAATAAAGTTGCTATAAACATCTGTATGCAGATTTTTGTGTGACCATAACTTTCATCTCCATTAGGTAAATATCAAGGAGCATAACTGGTGAATCATATGGCAATAGATGTTCAGTATTATAATCTACTATCTTTAAAAAGTGTACATATATTTTATATGTATATTTATATCCTGTTTTATATATATATATAGTTTATTTAAAGTAAGGTGCTTTTATTTAATTTCTTAACTCATCATTCCAACAGTGACAATGCACGTCAGATGGCATCAGATTACTAACCTGTGATGTTAGTAACTTCTGGCAACTTCATCCACTTGATTCAGATTTTTCTAGTTTTCTGTTTTTACTCATTTCCTTTTTAGAAATGTACAGAACTCTGAGATGTAGAAATGAATTGATGTTGACATAACCACTTTTAAAGAAAGAAGACTCTTATCTGAACCCAAGTCCTGAAAAAGAAACCATCAAACTGCTTTCCATAGTGACATTACCATTTTGCATTCCCCCCAACAATGAATAAACAGTTCCTCTCCTCCGTCTCCTTGCCAGTATTTAGTGTTGTCAGTGTTCCTGGTTTTGGCCATTCTAATAGGTGTGTAGTGGTGTCTCATTTTTGTTTCAGTTTGTATTTCCTTCTGGACATGTGACATTGAATATCTTTTCATATATTTGTCAACCATGTATCCTCTTTGGCGAGGTCAGTGTTTAGGCCTTTGGTCCATTTTTAAATTGTTTTGTTTATTTTTTATTATTAAATATTGGAGTTCTTTGTATATTTTTATAACTTTTTAGAAAAAAAAATTGTATCCTTTACAAGTATGTCCTCTCAGTCTGTGGTTTACTTCTTTGTTTTCTTGACATTTTCTTTTCACAGAGCAGACATTCTTTTAATTTTAATGAAGTTCAGCTTATCAATTATTTCTTTGATCTTTAGTCTAGAAACTCTTCCAGAAAGAAGATAATATGCCATCTTGAGGTTCTTATCATTTGTTCTTTTTCTGTCAAGAATCACAGTCCTGTATTACTTTTGTTCAATTTCTGAATATAGTTATGTGACATATTTTATCCAGGTTTTTTTTTTTTAATGTTCAGTGAAAGCTTCACTCCATAAATTTTAGTCTATATACCCTAGTAATCCAGAAAGAAAAGGATTTGGAAATCACTGTCTTTGGCATGTCAGAAACTCCTCCCCAGCTTTCTCAATTCTTCATCTTTGAAAACCTTTGTACTTACTTGACTTTAGTCATTAGGTTACCTGCATCATTGGTTTGAACATCTGCGGATGAAAAAGATGATACTGATCTTCCCAAGTAAAGACGATAGAGAAGCAAAAGTAAAATAGGAATGGCATTTTTTTGTTTGTTTGTTTGTTTCATTTTTTAGGAACAGCTTTTTTCATATATTTTCTCTCAACTATTGAAAGAATTCTTCACTCATTAATTTCTTCTTATTTTAATCCTATCACCTCCCTTGATGTAGTTCTCTGTGACCTAGTGAAATGAACCCACCATGCATTCTATTCAGGATCCCATTAGGAACCTGAAACAAAACTGAATTAATGAATGAGAAATTTGTTTTTTGAGACTGGGAGAGTGAAAAGACCTAGTGATTTTGATTATTAAACTATATTTGTGATTCAGTCAATCAGATGGAAGCATACTTTTCCCTTAATAGTTCTCAAGATAGTCACAGTTACAGATTTTTATTTATTGTCAAAATTATAACAGTTAATCAGTCATCAAAGAAACTTCATTCATGGCTGCAATAAACTTTTATGTTGCTATTCTACTATTTTTATTGTTATCCACATTTTAATTTTCTTCCCAAAGGAAAACTAACATTTCCCTTAAGCCTGAATTAACTAATACCAATCAATAAGGTGGTTTTATAATTTTAAGTTTTAGAAGGATATTTCCCTTACATATTACAAAACAATAACACTTTTTTTTGTTGTTTTTTTTGATTGAATTTCATTGATATGTGAAAGGAAAATGTGTTTGAGTTTGGTTCTCAAAAACAGATTTCAGATACTGCTTTTTTAGGACACCTCTTTCTTTGTTGCAAGTATCTGTCTGCATGCTGTCTTGTTCTCCTCAGTTAGCCCCACCCACAACTCAGAAACATTCTCAGTTTTTCCATTCCTGTTTTGTGCCCCAGAGCCTTACCCCAGGACATTGCATTTCTTCTGCTCCTGTGCCCCTGTGTTCACTAGTATGCTTCTGTGTTTAGCCAGTGGGAGACACTGATAGGAGATGGAAAGGAGAGAGAAAGAGAGGTTGAAAGAGTTCTTCTCCTCTTTCTGTCTGTTCTGGGCCACCTTTATGCAGCGGCTGAGTCGTTCTTGGACTCACTTTATTTTCTCTTGATCTCCACTCAATGGTTCCATCTCTCCCTGGATATCAAAAAAATGATTTCCCAAATTTATCTTTTTAGTCTTAGGGATGGTGACAATACTTAGCTCTTTCTAGTCTGGTTGCCTCAACATCCCTTATTGGGTAAGTTAACTTTTCCAACATGTCTTAAAGCTGTTCTTTTCTTATACTCTCTTTAATTATTTGCCTGAGTTCCTACTTGTTATGGCACCATGACAGATACTTATGCGTCATGTAAGAATCTATTTTAAAAGTGGTAGAAAGCAGAAGTCCATCTTTGGTAGACTTAGAGAAAGAACACTGTGGCAGGAACCATGGTTATGTCCTTGAGTGATTCTGAAGGTTTTCTAATCGCCTAATGCTTTTTATTTGTTTTTATTTCAACCCATTTATTCATTTTTTAAGAGATCTACATTAGCTCTGCCTCTTACCTTTATCATTTTTTTCATTTTTTTTTTCTTTTTTTTACTGTTCTGTTTTTATGGCTTGCTTCTCTTCATTCCCTAGGTTTTAGGCCAGACAATTGTCTCATGAAGACCTTTCTTGATCCTTCTGTATAGAGAAATATCTACCCCTGTCATTCTCTACAACATTAACCTGTTCTGTTTCTTATCTAATTTATAATTTCCTTCCTTTTCTTTTATGTTTCCTTATTATCTTATGTTTCATTATCTTTTGAATGATGTTTCATTTTCTTTTGAAGATGCATAGTTCATGAGAGTAGAGTCCTTCCTTTATGCTCCTTATGTTCTTATTGAACATTAAATCCATAGCATCTAAAATGTAGATCCTGACACATAATCATTGTTCAGTGAGAACAATAATGCTTCGGAAAACTAGGAAATGAAGTATTTGAGAAAGACATCCATGCTTGTATTTTGGGAAGAAACTCCTTAACTATTATCTNTAAGGCCCATTAATTTTATTCATGGATAATTTCTGTCCATTCTTATTATGATATCCAAAAGTCACATACAGATTTTGCATGGCATTATTTAAGTGAATTTTCCTTATTATAATTCTGATAAAATACTTAAATTCCTTTTCTCAGAAGAAGTAACAAGTAGAATTTAGAAATGCCTCGTTATGCTGGATGCAGATCTTTAAAACAGAGATGAATTACTCTCTCTGCTATCAAGTCCCTGAGCTCTGTTTAAAATGATCAAATGTACTTATGATCACAGAAAATCTCCAATGAGGTTTTGTAGTCCATCAGTGCACAAAATCAGCATTTTTTCAATTAGCGTAAAAGACAGAGTGACTGCACAAATTTATCTAGTAAGAGGAAGATGACTGAATTAGTAAGAAAGCTGGTCTCTAGAGGGAGAAGCCAGCTCAGTGGATGAAATTAACTTCTTTTTTTTTTCTATTTTCATATCACTGCATAGTGAATTGAATAAGCGAGTTAAGATATTGAAACCAAATCATACTAAAGGTATTTGTTTATTGAACTTTAAAACTGAAATGTACTTGAATAGTACTTTATCTCTTTCTCTCACCTTGAATATGCTATGGTATGGGCTGTGCCTCCATATTCTTTATTCAGTTCAGTCGCTCAGTCGTGTCCAACTCTTTGTGACTCCATGGACTGCAGCATGCCAGGCCTCCCTGTCCATCACCAACTCCCAGAGTTTACCCAAACTCGTGTCCACTGAGTCAGTGATGCCATCTAACCAGTGGATGCGATCATACTCTGTCGTCCCCTTCTCCCCTTGCCCTCAATCTTTCCCAGCATCAGGGTCTTTTCAAATGAGTCAGCTCTTCACATCAGGTGGCCAAAGAATTGGAGTTTCAGCTTTAACATCAGTCCTTTCAATGAACACCAGGACTGATCTCCTTTAGGATGGACTGGTTGGATCTCCTTGCAGTCCAAGGGACTCTCAAGAGTCTTCTCCAACACCACAGTTCAAAAGCATCAATTCTTTGGCATTCAGCTTACTTTATAGTCCAACTCTCACATCCATACATGACTACTGGAAAAACCATAGCCTTGACTAGACTGACCTTCATTGGCAAAGTAATGTCTCTGCTTTTTAATATGCTGTCTAGGTCAGTCATAACTTTCCTTCCAAGGAGCAGGCATCTTTTAATTTCATGGCTGCAGTCACCATCTGCAGTGATTTTGGAGCCCCAAAAAATAAATTTAAAAAGTAGGATTTAGTGCAAAGTGCTAAGGGATTTGGAGGATGGTGTACCTGACTTTGACATTGTCTATTTTCATTGCCAGGTCAACAGTTATACTGTGCATGCAATCCTGGTAAACTTACAAGAACAATTTAATGATTCCATCTTAAATGTAATATCCAGGATAATTTATAAGTGGTGCTAAAACTGTGGCCTATTCCATCTTAAATGTAATATCCAGGATAATTTATAAGTGGCGCTAAAACTGTGGCCTCTGTAATATGTCCATAACATATTTATACAAAAGTTTAGAAAACCACCACATTCCTAAATAGCTATCTTTCAGAAAATAGCAACTGGAAGACAGTTTGTTCCTTTTTTTTTTTTAATTCAGTCTTTCTCTTTGCCCAAGTAACAAAATTCATAAGCAACTTTTTAATGCAGTGCCATTAACAGCCCTTAAAGTTTCACATGGAATGTCTACTTTTCTCCTATTTCCCTCCAACAGTACCCAGGAGAAATTCCCCTTCAGTTGTTTCTACTATTTCCATATCTATGCTTTTTGTATTTTAGTGCCACTGAAAAGTGAAACATTGTTATTAGTTTTACCCACTCCTGGTTTTACTCTAGATTAGGTCAGGGATACTCACATGTAAAGAGTATAGTGATCCAATACATAAAGTCTCAGCAGTGAACCATAGGCAGAGTTCTGGTAAGAAGACCATCCAACAAGTTTGGCAGCATACAATCACAAAGGCCTTTAAAGAGGAGTTATCAATAAGATGAGGGGGAAACTGGAAAATCTGGCACAAAATATGGATGATGAAATCATTAAATTAGAATGGAAACTAACTTGAGTGGCTAAGAATTAGCATTTGAGAGATGCTTTAGGAGTGAAAGTGAACCAGTCATAGCATCTAGATGTGGAATTAATGACATACTTGGTAGAAGAGGCTAGAGTAGGAAATGGCAACCCATTCCTGTATTTCTTGCCTGGAAATTCCCAGGGAAAGAGGGGCTTGGCAGGCTACAGACAGTGGGGTCGAAAAAAGTCAGACACCACTGTGTGACTAACATACTTGATAGAAGATGGGCTTACCTGGTGGCTCAGACACTAAAGAATCTGCTTGGTAGAAGAGGTGGATGATGAGATTAAGCTGATTCCTATCCATTCAAGTGAGTCTCCAAATTTCACCTGTTTCTCTAAGGCAGTCAATAAGGAAATGGAGACTGAATGAAGATGGATACACAATGCATTTGTGAGATTTCAGTTCGGAAAAACAACAACAGCAACATAAAACACCCTAGCTACTTCAACAGAGAAAATTCAATACAAGAAATTCATTAAACAAATATTGGGTAACTTGAACAAAATAGGACAAAATGAAGTAAGACAGTAATTAATGAGAAACTGGGTTTTGCCTTCAGAGACAGTGGAACACATTGGAGTCTTCAGAAACTACAGGCCAAGAGTAGGTCCCACATAATCCAAAGATCAGATACGTGAAAAGGGATTGCCAGCCACTAGCGGGTAACCCAGGAGGAGTCTTACAGACAAGCACTCTGACCTCAGAGCAACTAATATTTAGGAACTGAAAATGAGGGTCCCACAGAGCCATAGCTGAGGAGGAGACGACACATGTGTTGATGCGATACCACATTTGTTCAGAGGACAGCTCTTGAAGAGCTAGTAGTCCACCTAGTCCTGGTAACCCCCTGGGGGTCGGGTAGGGAAGGGGTGGATGATGAAGATGGTTTGCAGAGAGCAAGATTATACTGTAAGTGGGAAACCACTGCTGCAGCTAAGGTGAAGCAACATTCATGGGATGACTTTGACAGGAACAACAGGCGAACTGAAATCAGCAAGTCCCTTCTTTCTCCATCCTGCACCTTCAGTCTTCAGTGCTTGTGCTGAAAAAGCATAAGAGGAATCCGCATGACAAAGAACTATAGGTTGTAGAATGTCCACCCCAGCATCAAAAAAATAAAGTATTAAAGAATAGATTTAGAGCTGAGTCAAATGGATTTATAATCAACATGAATATGACACATAATTTCAAACTCTAATTAGGACTGCTTACCCTGAGAAATGTCCTAGTTTTATGACTCAGTGTGTGAAAGAGATAGAGCAACATTTTACTTTATAACTGTAGAGAGAGCAAGCTAAGTAGTGATAATTAAGCACTAAATAACCTAATACAATAATGGACTTTGCTGTGAGCTACTTTATAATCCCACCTTTAAAACCTGCTCTCCCTAAAAGGGATGGGGGTGGAGGCAAACACTAAAACCTAAGAAGTGATATTGATATGCTAGGGATGGTCATGCATTGCTGACTGCTCCTCGATCCACAGGCAGACTGTCCCCCTTCCTTGAATCCGGGCTGGCCTTAGTGATTTGACCGATCACATGCAGCATCAGTCACTTTCTGGGACACTGGAAACAAGGAGAGACTTTCCGGTTTCAACCCAGGCCTCACTGTCTCAGGGATCTCTGAGCTATCAGATGAGAGTCTGACTGCAGCACTGGAGAGGCTTCTTACAGGTCCTCGCCAAAGCCCCAAACACGTGAAGCCAAAAACGTGGCTCCTGAAGCAGAGGCCTCTCTGTGACGCCTATTGGCAGCATGTGGAGTGCCTGAATTCACGACTCAGAAACTGATGAGACAGAGTAAACTAATCATTGTTTTAAGAGTAAATTTGGAGATAGTTTATTATGCAGCACTCGATGGTGAGACCGACATAGAAAAGATGAGAAGCCTGCAGAATTTCTGTGAGAGTCAGTAAATCCGCCTGCTGATGGAGAAACCGGGGTTTGATCCCTGGGTCCAGCAGATCCCCTGGAGAAGGCAATGGCTACCCACTGCAGTGTTCTTGCCTGGAGAATTCCATGGACAGAGGAACTTGTACTCTACAGTTCATGGGGTCACAAAGAGTCAGACACAGCCGAGTGACTTACACTTGCACTTTTTCACTTTCATGCAGCATAGTTTCCAGGTTCCCAGTTTACTCCAAAGGCCTTTTTTTCCCCTTTATTATTCTTGAAAGGAGAACAGACAATAAAATGTGAGGAAATGATAGAAGTAGAATGCAGTAGAATTCTATTTCTACTGCAACTAAGTAAAATGCAGTAAATAAAACAAATTCAAAGAAAAAAATAACAGAAAGAAATATATTTTTTCTGGGAGAATGGACTCAGAATCAAGAGAGAAATGTGAGGTATTAAAACAAAAAAAAATTAGGAAAAATGATATAAACACTGAAAGAAATTGTCTAATTTTTTAAGACAGAATTAAAGGCTTCTGATTTATTATAGGGTAAAAACATTGGTGTAAGGCCAATATTTCTAGAATGACTGACTTCAAAATTGAGATAATGATTTTAAGAGAAAAAAATCTGTATTGGCATCAGAAATCTGGAGCAAGGAAGAATGAGAGGGGCAAATATCACAAGGACGGGATGATTTAGGAGAAGGAAGTAATGATCAGCAGCTTTTTACCTGGAAATAATTGGTGATGTAGAAATTGCAGTGTGAGAGATTTAATATAAGCCTAAAAGCTCTGAGTAAGTAGAGGAAGGATTTTTTTTTTTTTTTTCAGTCTTATATTCAAGGAAGATGGATTAAAATACAGGATCTTCCCAGAGAGGCTCCCTGATGAAACTTTAGGCTCTTAGGTGAAAGCCCTATACTATACCTTAGAAAAAGGAACAAAAAAGAGTCTTAAACTAAATGCAACCTGGCTTCAACTCCTATCAGTCCCCGATTGGATTAAGATGATCAGTCCCCCACTTTCTCTGGCTAGCAGTGAAAAAAGAGTGAGCCCTCTCTAGAAAAAGATAATACCATAATATTCAAAGTCATTAAACATATAGCTTAGTTCAACTGATGAATTATTTTCATGAGATCCATGTTTTGTTTATTTTGGCTTCAAAATGCCATCTGTGGAGGGAAACATGAAAAAGTGGTCACCCGTGGTCCTTGTCTCATGGATGATCATAGTTTCCTATAATTCTTTCCCCTCCTGGACCTGCAGGTTTCTTCAACCAAGAGAATAGCCCAAATGTTCTGGGATGTTTCTCCCTTGATTATATGCTCTGTTAAATTATGCTCTGTCTTCCTTGCAGATTCTCTGTAATGACTAGGCTTACTGTGTCTATGTGGCAAGGACCTATGATGGAATGTTAGTCAATCATAAAAGAATGAGATTTTGCCATTTTGCAATAACATGGGTAGACTTGGAGAGTATTAAACTTAACGAAGTAAGTTAGATAAAAATGATGCTGTACATTTTCACTTGTATATGGAATCTAAAAAGTTACACAAGTGAATGAATATGATAAAATCAAAACAGACCCACAGATACAGAGAACAGACTAGTGGTTACTAGTGAGGAGAGGGGAAGGTGGGGAGGCAAGATAGGAGAAGGGATTAAGAGATAGAAAATACTAGTTATAAAATAAACAAGATGCATGAGTGTAATGTAGGAAATTCTGTGGTAGTCTGGTTGTTAGGACTTTCACTGCTGAGGGCCTGGGTTCAATCCCCAGTTGGGGAACTAAGATCCCATAAGTTGTGTGGCATAGCCAAAAGAAACAAAGAAAATATAATGTACAGCATAGTGACATATAACCAATATGTTATAATAACCCTATATGGAGTATAATCTACAAAAAATATTGAATCACTATGTTATACACCTAAACTTATATAACTTTATAAATCAGGTATACTTCAACAGGAAAATTAAGATTAAATTGAAATATGTAAACCAGTCAACAGATAAGTTCTCTAAAAAAAAAGTGAGAGTCTAGAATTGGAAAGAAGCCTTTCAACAGTACAGAAACTTGTAGGAGTACCCCAAGCTATAGAATGAAGCTGAACCAACACCTTGATTGAAGCCTTGTCAGACCCTAAGAAGTAGGAAGTTAACTGCTCAAAATAAACAAACAGTACCAAAAGAGAAAAGCTGTAACTCCCTAGATATTAAGCAGTACTTTCAAGGAAGTTTTATTCTAAATTACAGACCTGAAAATGTAGCTTCAAAATTATAATAAAATATAATAAAAATTATAATAAAATGCATATTATGCTTCCCTTGTGGCTCAGCTGGTAAAGAATCCACCTCCAGTGGGGGAGACCTTGGTTTGATCCCTGGATTGGGAAGATCCCCTGGAGAAGGGGTAGCCAGACGTTCCCTTCTCCAGAAATAAATGTATAAATTATAAAGATTGGAAACTGTTGCTGAGATGATAAGTTTTGAAGGAAAAAATATTTCTGCGGATTCAATATGTAGATGACAAAGTTAGCCAAATTAATAAACTTCTGTATATGAATGTGAAAGTGTTAGTCATTCAGTCGTGTCTGACTCTTTATGACCCCATGGACTATAGCCTGCCAGGCTCCTCTGTCTTTGGAATTCTCCAGGCAAGAATACTGGAGTGGGTTGCCATTCTCTTCTCCAGGGGATCTTTCTGACCCAGAGAGTGAACCCTGGTCTCCTAAATTGCAGAAAGATTCTTTACCATCTGAGCCACCAGTATATGAACTAAATCTAATTATTCATAATTACTTTTTGTGTGATTAGATGATATAGTTAATTATATTATGAAAATGATAAAGGAAAAAAAATGGGTTTCAGAAAAAACAGACAAGAGAGGGCATTTCATGGAAATATTTGGTAATATCCCTTGAGGGATTAGCAGATTTTTCTAGAAGACCCAACTGCTGAGCTGGGATGACAGTGACATACTCTAAGGCAAAAATTAAAAGTGAGAGAAACAGTTAGTTACCAGAGTGGTCATAACAAATGGGAATTTCAAGTGGAACAGTACAGACCAAGGTTTGGGTCACAGTCATGAGTTAAGAATTTAGTTTGTCAACTATCAAAATAGTTGAAGTAATTACTTACTAGCATCAAGGCAAACTTGGAAACTTTTGGATGTCTTTCTTTTTTTTTAACTTAAATAATATTACATAAATTTTTCTGCTATTCCATTAAAGAAGTTTGTAGGAACTCAATCTGACTATTGTAGAGGGATTTATTTAACTTAGCAAGAAAGTTATTATTGAAGAAGTTGAGTGAAGAAGCCTGAAGCACACTTCTCTGGGATCCCTCTCTCAAACTATGACACAGAACAAAAAAGCAGCCCAAAGAGAATACAGCATCTTGTGCACTTCACACATTTCTTAACATGGTAGTGGAATATAGGATTGGCAAAAAAATTTGTCCAATTTTTCTGTACCATCTATGGACAAACCTGAACAAACCTTTTGACCAACCCAATACTTACAGTTTTCATTTTAATGACACTTCAAAAATCCATTACCACCTGGATGAACATGTTAGATTGCTTCTAAGCCATTGCAGATACATGCTCATTTTTGTTGTGAATGGCTGTTTAAATTAATTGGCAAGATACTAAGAAACAAGTTTTGAAGATCAAAAATTTTTATGTAATAAGTCTTTGCAGTATAAAGATATTCTGTAGAGAATAAAACCAAAACAGATAAAAGAGAAAGTTATACTCCTGAAAATGCTATTTATAGATATTAGATGATCTGATAGTTTGTGGCATGTAGGCAGAATTCATAAGATACATGAAATTCAGAGAGTAAATCAGAAACATACCTCATTAAAGAATAAATGGAATGTATGGTTAAAAAGAGAGAGCGAACAAGAATATTGCTTATAGATGGAAAGGATTGAAAAGATGTTATCATAAGGGACATATTTTATTAATTCCAGATTAGTATTAATAGCTATATCAACCCTAAATTCACCTCCCTCTACTGGTAACAACTGGTTATGATCTCATTCTGGTCCCATTCATGTTATTCCCCCAGACATAAACCACCACCACCACCAGAAACAGATTTAAAAAGAAAAAAAATGGGGACTATTCATCAGGTTGTCTGGGGAGATACACTTGTATCTCAAGGAGTAGTTGGCCTTGAGTCAATCTGATGGAGCAAGTATATGTTTGCTGTCTGTGTCTCATCTTGTATGCATATGATCAGAAGGGAAATCTGATATGGCAGGAAGAAAGAGGGAGAATATAAGAAGATTGGTTAATAGAGAATTAAGGTAGAGTGTTCTTTCTACCCCATGTTCACCATGTCTTAAGTGTTAGCCAATCACTTATCTTTCCCTTTGTTTCTTGCCTTATTTTATATAATGCAATAGGTCATATGATCTCTGCATCTTAATTTGGTCTTTAACCCTAGCTCTGGGATAATGTGCTTGGCAATGTCCTTGGAGGCTACCGCAACATCAAGGTAACTTTCCAAATGACATTTCAGTTGTCCACCAGAGTAAAAGGAACTCTAATTAATAGGAATGTCATTTTCATCTTCTAGACTTTGAAACAGCCTCCTTCAAATATTCAATATCTACATGCCAAAGAAAATTGAAAATAAAATTGCCATTTGGGTCGGGAACCTTTATAGGTAGACTGATATATTTATGGATGATTGGGCAGTTTTTCTTAAAATGCCACAGGAAATAAGAATTGTCACTTGTATAAATATTTTGGAAGAAAAAACTGTTAGTATATTCTGCAAGGTCATGGTAGGTAGCCCTGTATATTTTTTTATTGGAATAATACAGCTTTTCTGAATGTTGAACATAATTCATGCCAGTCACCATGGCATATTATAATTAGGCACACGTATTTTTTAAAAAAAGAATTGACATAGAGCATGTTTCTATTTTGACAGTATTTTATAAAAAGTAGACATTTGATGAGAAAAAGATAGTTTTATATTTCCCATGAATCCAACTTTATCTTTCAATGTAATCAAGATTTAAGCAAAGAAAACTGAAATACTGCATGCTATTTTTGATATGAATATAGATTTATACAATTTATGCTGACTTTTCCTAAGCAATAATGAAATCAATAGTAACCTTCAAAACTGGATATAAAAATAACCCCTGACTTCATTATAAAATTATAATTAAGTGGTTGAGATCATGAGCTACAAAAAGAAACATGTTATCTATTACATAATGTTTGGAGAAATCTGGGTTGATTTTTAAATTGTGATTTTAAAAAGGTGTGTTACTTCAGAGTCAACCAAGAACTTCAGAATGGCATGTGAAAAAATCTAAAGATATTTATTTCCATTAAAATAAAATGGAATAACAATTGGCCATATCATATATGAACTCTGCTTAATGATTTGTTATTGGTGAAAGTCATTTCTTTTAAAACAGTAAAACTCAAAATGTTCATGTGTGTGTGTGTGTGTGTGTGTGTGTGTGTATTCATATGTGCACATATATTATGAGCTACTCTGTTTAATGTAGAGGACAGATGACTCACCCAGATGCCCCCTTTATTTCTGTTATTCTTCCATATACTTCCTACATTACTTCTGCTTAATGTGTCAAAGAGACACTTGATACTATCCATGATGTGTCTTTGAAAATTATAAAATTCTGGACAAAACTGCTCGGTGTATTAAGAGCTGCTGTTGGTAAGATATGTAGAGTCCTTGGACAGTGTATTTTCAAAACTGGGCTGAGCTGCTTTCTCTGGAAAGTTACACTTAGATGAGGGATTTTCAAAATATCCAGAGCAATCTGTGTTCAGTTGTAATTTTCTGTCGCCTCACAGTATGAAGAGATAAATGAGAGCAGATAGAGAGCTGAGCATCAGAGCACTGATGCTCTTAGGGAAGAGAACTGGCTGAGGGAGGTGGGGCCAGTTTGATTTCCTGAGTGGATGTATAGCGTCCTTGAGGATGGATTGCTGGTTCCTTCTACTTCTCTTGCTCGTGAAGGTCAGGTCTGAAGCACCATAGATGCTAGATCTTTTCATCTGTCACTGCTATGAAGAGTAGGGGTACTCACTTATGAGGAGGAGATTTGTTAAAGTTCCATTCACGGTAGGAGCTATGTACCTAAATAAGCCTTAGTCCAAAATGACAGCTTTAAATAACACATTGCTTTACTTCATAGGACAGTTATTTCTCAGGATAAAGCATCCTCTTGAAGGTGCTGGGCCATAATGGGTCACAGTATCTGCTACCCCAAAGTTACCTCTCATTCTTAATCCTAGGTGATCAGATCACATCCTGAGAGGAAGGAGTTAAAGCCTTAAAAACCAGAAAAAAAATAAAAAACTAAAAACACTAACAAAAAAGGCGTGGTCATGTTATTTACCTGGAATAATAAGCATACTTATTCTAATTTAGTATTACTCAATAAATAAGAGAAAATGCTTGGAATAGTTTACAATCAACTAGCCATTCTCTCCACCACACCCCCAAGTAGAAAGAAAAACCCCAAAAGAAGAATCTGATAGAAAGAGCTATACCAGACTAAGGAAGAATATAATCAGGGAAAAAGTCACCCTTCTTCTAAAATACTTAGATTATTGTCCAAATTATATTTAATTGTATGTATTAAAGGAGAAACAAAGAAAGCAATTCTATCTAGAAAAGAAAGATTTACTTCACATATATAAGCTATGAATTATTATTAATTTATCTCACTTTACAGAAGAAAATACAAATATAGAAATTCAGTTTTTAACTTCTAAAGGATTTCTGTTTTACTAAATTAATAGGTAATTCATTGGTTATTTTTAAGTTATTATGTATATTCCTATAGAGTTGATCAGGAGACCCATAATTTGTTAGCTTATATGGAGCATCATATAAAAACATTAGTATAATCTTATGAGATTAGTTAATATATAATCATTGATAAAAATGATCTCAAAGACAGCAATGAAAATTCAGATGTCTTATAGCAGGAGTGGATTCTCATTTGCAGATGAACTTTTATTTAAAATTAGAAAAAAATCATGACAACTTATTTTGTTAGAATTTTATAACCATGGGAATACACATAGAAAGGAGACTCATGCAAGAGTGTCTCTCTGAAACTCAAGTATTTTACACTCCATCTCTGTGCGACAGCCAGGAAGGTTAACAATCTCAGCCCCACAACCAGAATAAACTGCATTCCACCATAGCCTTGAA